TTGTCCGAAAAACCCATCTCTTGTATTAGAGAATTTAGACTTGGGTAGTCCGATTTTTGATGCTCAGGTGGCGAGTCTATTTCAAAGCGATATTTTTTTGGCTTTTGTACTTCGTTGCTCTCTAATTCGTTAATCGTATTTATTGGGATGGTATTTCCAAATGACTTAGACAGCGCCAATTGGTGGTTTCGTGTGGACTTTCTTTGTCGTTCTGATGTTGGTGGTACTCCTTTTTTGTTTTTCCGTTTTGGCGAAGGAGCTACACCCTCGGAGGATTGATGGAAGGATTGTCGTCCGAATGGCTCGATTCTGATTTTTTTGGGTGTTGTCTTCCCCTTTTCTACTGCTTTGACCGTTGGTAGGCTCATTCCACTGGTTTGTAGTTTTGTTGTTGGTCGTCCTCCGGTTCTTTTCCCCGTTGCCTTTGCCTTTCGTTTTGTTGAGCTGCTCGTTTGCTGTCTCAGTTGCTTCTTTGTTTGTTTCACTGGCGAGCCCGTAGCCTCATCCTCCTTGAAAATTGCGTGTTGTGGCGCGTTGGGGTTTTCTAAGTCTTAAAAACGTAGACATGGTCCAGATCTCCGTGCGGATTTATACGCGACATAATCACTAAGTCGAGATGGTCTACAAGGCCCGTAAATTAGAGGGTTCGGTAAAAAAGCTGCTCCGCTATTCCTTAATAATCTCGGTTGTTTGCCGAATGTTTGTACCCAAGCGGTGTGTGGAGTATATGTTAGAATTTTGCCGTCAACTGTTATATATCTTTGTTCAAAGGTTTTTGGGTTTTTCACCTTTGTTGCTATCCTAATGGTTTTCCGGGCCACCTGTTCTATACGTTTCTTAGTATGTGCGTCTACTCTATTGTTTTCTGTAGCCCTTTGTATCTTACATTAACCTTATCTTTGGCTAGTTCTATAACTTTATGACCTGCACCTGTTTTCTGTTGTGTCGGAGAATTTGCCTTTTGAAGTTTCTTTGGCATTTGTGGACTTGTTTTTCCTTTTTCTCTAACTGACACCTCGTCCTCTGACCATCTTTGTAGATCGTGCCTGGTCTCAGCGGGTAGTGGCGGCTTTGTTAAGTTCTTTCTATATAAATATGCTTGTTTTGCGTTTTCCCAATTTAAGTTATTTGGTGTACTGCTTGTTGCGATATTTGATAAAGGGGTGTTCGGTTTGCGGCCCATGTGTGCCTCAAACGGTGAAATTTTTTTGACGCCATGTGGTGTGATCCGTAACGTTTTTATGACTTCGGCTACATCGGAAGCTAGCCTGTACCTGCGTTTTAGTGTTTGTATCATTCTTTCAACTACCCCTATTGCTCTATTATCGTCTACCGGTGCAAAAAGTAGTTTTAAATTATTGGAGTTACAAAAAATTGAAACTTCTCTGCTCTGAATGTTTGAGCCTGATCACATCTTAATTTTCGCGGTACACCGTTGTTGGAAACATAGCGCTGCATGAACTTAATAGCAATGTCTGCTGTTGTGTTGGAAACAACCTTCGCGGCAGTAAACTTTGACCCTTTATCCATTGCAACCAAAATATATGCATCCCTATTTAATTCATCAGGGAGAGGTCCTCGGAAATCTAATTGAACTTCCTCGTTAGGTTCTACTACTGGTTCCATGAGGAAAGAATGTTTTTTTTTTCCTATAATGGGTTTTAAGTTTTTACCTTGCTCAGTGAATGCTTGCAGTTTTGTGCCATGTGGACAATGGTTCTGTGTATGTGAGGGAACCAGACGTGTAGGCACAGATCCAACATGGCCACCGCATCCTGGATGAAGTAGACGGAGGCTGTCGAGCACTATCTGTCGTAGTTGAGTGGTTATTACGATCCTTTCGTCGATTAGTAAACAATCTTCGCGGATGTGGAGCCAATCGCGAATGTTATGCCAATAGGGTCCATATGAGGTTTTATTGGCCTCCCAATCCCTTTTTTTATCAAAATTGATGAGTGGGCGGAGGTTGCGGTCTTTTTTCGTTGCCGCGGCAATGAATCGCTTTCCTAGCAGCCGTTGAAGCTTCTTCCTGAAGAGTGCGGTGTCTTCCTCGGCCTCTGTTGTATTTGAGGTCTTTTGTAGTGTTGCAACCAGTCCCTCTGTAAGAAACGCATGACTGGCCTCGGTTGACGTATTTTTCGTCATCGTTGGGGTGCCTCATTATGTCTCCTCTCTTCTTGGATTGTCTTGGTTGGGTCCACGCGGCTCACCCAGACTTCATCGTCCGATTTCTGTTCCCCAGACAGTTTTGTTTGTGTAAAGCTAGAGGTGAATTCGGTCTCTGTCTGGCAGGACTTCGTTTCTAATTGTCCCGTGATTTTCATTCGCTCCGTTTGGGTTGTTCGTTCTGTTTTCGATTGCTCCATTTGGTTAGTTCGCTCTTCCTTATTGTCATTGAAAATGATTTTAGGGAAGTTTGATTTCTTTCGTGTTTCCTCAGCTTTCTTTTGAGTAATAACCTCTCGTGCATCCTAAACTTTGGTGACACTCTCGTTTTTTGTCTGTTTTGGTGAGTTGGTATTTGCTTTCTTTCCTTTTGCGGGTGGCCTTTTGTGCCTTCGTGGATCGGAAAGACTTTCTTCCCTGTCCGAAGATCCTTGCCACTGTGTAGTTGACTCAGTGTGATGTTCTTTGTGATCGGTGCTCTTTCGTTCCGTGGGTATGAATCCTCCTTTGAATCCACGCGTTTCTGGTCGTCTGTTCATTTTATGGCAATGAATGAGGTTTACTGTTTTGCGGACTGGTTTTATTGTTTTCAATTTTGAGTGAAAGAGAGCTGACTGTTTGTTGGCGATTTTCAAGTGAGACTGAATTTGGTTGTGAGATTGCAATTGACCGTGTGTGGATTGTTTGGAATGTTCGTGAGTTAAATGAATTTTTGAAATAGCATCTAATAACCCTCTGTTTTTCGCGCGTTTTTTTTTCAGTTCATACGGTGCTTTGTTTTGATTGGCTAGGTTATTTAGAATGACGTTGTCAATCAATTCGAGGTCATTTATAAATGCATTAATTGATGCTATAACAAATTTCCCATCATACTTAATGGGGGGGTATTGCCAATCCAACTGGATTTTGGGACATATAGTCTATTAATCCCATTTTGTTTCCCGCAAGATGTTTGATAACAAAATGGAATGGTAATAGTCTACCAATCCACTCTGACTTGTTTTTGATCTTTCACTTTCGTACAAAGCGCTGATCAAATCTTGGTGGTCTGTAAAGACGGTAAAATGTTTTCCATAAAGATAATATTTGAACTGTTCAATTGCCCAAACAACTCCTAATAGTTCTAGTTCACTTACGGAATTTTTTCCTCGAGGGAGTTTCAGAAACGTGATGCGTACGCTACGGCTATCCAACCCTCTGGTGAACTTTGTTCTAATGCTGCCCCTAACCCTGTGTTAGATGTATCGCAAACTATGCGAGTTTCTAATTGTTGGTCAAAGTGTTTGTTTTGTGTTATTTTAGCTACTAATTTTAGTATGTTTTTGAAAGCTGTGTTATTTTCTGTTGACCAGTCAGGTGGTTTTTTCTTTCTTGTATTTTCTAGCAGTGGACGGAGGGCGGCAGCTGCTTGTACTTAATTTAGTATATATTGCGTGAGGTGGTGTATTGACCCCATAAAACTTTTTAATCGGTTTTCTTAATGAGCGGTGTTGTTCCTTCGCTATTAACGCTGAATCCTAACCACTCAATCTGTTTACAAGCGAACGTACATTTCTCAAGTGGAATTGCAAGGTTTTCTTCATCTAATCTGTCCAAAACTGCTTTCAGCTTCTGTTGATGTAACTCTGTGGATCCCCTCATAACTATCAGTATATCATCTAAGTATGCATATGTGTTCGTGCAGTTTGTCAACGTTAAGTCAATGGCTTTTTGAAATTCGACTGGCAGATCCGTGAGTTCGTACAATCCCTTTTGGAATTGACACGTTACTGTTGCATTGCCACCGATTAAACTGAAATTACATTGTTCGCGTGTTCGTTGATCCAGCGGGATTTGGGAGTATGCGTACGTCTGTTTTGTTTTGTCTGATTTTACTATTTGTGCGATGTTATCCAGTACTAAATCGATATTAGGCTTTTGATACTTGTTTTTATGGATGAATTTGTTGATTTTCTTGGAATCCAACGCAAATTTAACTATTTGATCCTTTTTTACTGTGATGACAATTGGACTGATGAATTGTCTATCTGAGAAGTTGTCCAGTTTGATAATGTGTTTCTGATTGATTATTTTGTTTAATTCCCCCTCCACACGTTCTTGGAGATGTATCGGAATGCGTTGACCTTTTTGTTGAATCGGAACAAATTCTTCAATGAACTGTGTTTTCATTGTATGATTTTTGGATTTTCCGATAGCACAGTTGTAAAAAATTGTTTTTTAGCCATTGTTTAATTGCTGGATCAGACTCTTCTTCTTCTTGTATAGCATGTACCTTTTGTTTTTGTTGTTCTCGGATTAGTTTGATACCGATCTGCGGTAACAGATTCCTTCCGATGATGTTTGCTTTTTTATCATCTACCACGATGAATGGAGCTGAAAGGATTATCCAACCTCCTGACTCGATAGTGAT